AGCCATTTTATTCTCACCTGCACGAACTTCGTGTTCTTTTTATAAAACTTCCATCCTATACTTGCTTGCACGTTACTTTACGCTCTTCCATTCAAAGCATCTTGTACACGCGCAGTCGTGCCCTGTTAAAGAAGCTGTCGACCAGGCCACCTCGTCACTTCTCCGGATTCCTCACGTGCTGCCTCTCCAACAGCTGCCTCGTGAAAGCACATGGGTTCTTTTTTAACTTACGTACTTGATTTTTCGGTGGATTGAGAAACGCTTTCAGACCGACGAAACCCACGCCCGCTTAAATGCCCGACAGCGAAGTCACACCTTTGACGAGATACAGCCCTTCGTGGAAATGTCGCCTCACCTGAAAAAACTGTCTCGACTATGTTTCAGTAGCAACCTTACAGATCTATTCAGACTCTTATACCATTTTATACGTTGCCTCGTTGAAAATACTGCAATTTCCGCTTACTTAATTCAGCGCTCTAGACAAAATAATCACTGAATGAGGAAATTCGTTATGTATCCCATAATCATGAATTAAATTTCGTCGAATTTTTTTTCAAGAATAAATTGATTTTTTTCGGTGGTTTTCACTTGCGGTACTTTTCACATCTCCTGTATGGTGTGCTCGTTAGTGTTGTGCGCGTGTTTTTCACAGATATGTTCCTAATTGTTTTATTTATTTTTTATTCTTAAAAGGCAGAAAAGAAGTCTTCGTTCCATCTCGGCTGCTGCTATATTTGCAATGGACGGAAAAATTACGAAAACGGTTCATTCATTTACATAACTCATTTTTGCTGATTTCATTGAAGGCATAAATCTAGTGTTCTCCTAACTAGTAAGTTCTAAGTGCAAGCAAGTAGAAGCAGCTTTTCTTTTTTTTTCTTGCAGAACAAGTGACGTCCCCGTCGTTCAACCTTACTTAAGATATAAATGATGGTCCATAGTTTGTACTACGTAACATTTATGTTTCTGACTTCATCTTTTTGCTCACATTTATTACTGCCTTATAAAACATTTTAAGCCATACACGTTGATAAGTACATGCTATTCAAAGGTTTTTCTACCGAAGGTAATTATGGCGAATATATACATGACTGCATGCCCCGCCTAATTCAATCAGCTCCTCCAATTCAGGACAAGGCTTCTGTCAATCGCTCTGTCAATCGAACTGACTCGGTGGATCTTCGCTGTCCCCGCAGTGCACCGTATGGAGTCCAAATCGACATCAGCGCCGGCCGCATCGTTTGTTCTGCGCGCCCGTAAAAGCACCTGAGTTCTGGGGACGAGCTCGGCTACATGCAAAGAGCCGGCTACCTCCGTCCCACGAGGGGCACACTCGATAGCATGGCCCCGCGGGGGACGCATTGCTTCGATGGCTCGTCGAGCAGCGAGGAAACGCCCACCAGTCTTTCGGTGCCACTGGATTGGGGCGGAGGACGTGGGCTGCGTCCGTCGAGCAGCAACTTTGATAATAAGGGCTTGGTTGTGAGCGTTAGCGAGCACGTTAACTCACTAGACATCGCTAGATGGCTCATATAGACCGATTACACGTTCGTATACAGTGGTAGGCGTTGACATACCGCAGCGCTTGTGGTGACGCAGATTTCGCCCAGCCCAAAGCTGGCCACCACCATATATGATCAGTGATCACGTGACAGTTGGCACAGCAGCTGAAAAGCTGCCTTCGAGCATAGCGTGAAAGTCCTCGTGGTAATGGTCACTGAGCAAGCCCTGCAATGCAAGGTAGCCGTGTCACATGCATACGCACCACTACTGAGCATAGTAGCATGAAGTGTACCATAGAATGAGAGAAGTGAGAAGAGCGCGAGCGAACAAGTCACCTAGGAAGTGATGTACGATATGGAGTCACTCAAGGAAGGAAGGAAAATATGAGGAAAAGAGCGGCAGGGAGGTTAACCAGCCTATAGGCAGCCGGTTTGCTACCCTGCGTATGAGAGGGGGATAGGGGAGATGAAAGATAAAGAGCAGAGAGGGAAGAGAGATAGACACAGCACATTCGGCAGCACACGTGCGCAAAAGCATGCACCACGCGTATAAGAAGAGCCTGATTTTGCGGACAGGCCAGGATGCGAGGTTGCCGGAGTGGTAGGCCGCCTGTGGTTTGATGAGCGAAGTGAAGGGCGTTGTTACGTCACGTGCATGTAGTACGTAGTACATGTTCCTACAGAGAGAGCCACAGAGACACGAGCTGCAGGGACAGCTTGTGAAGGACAGCAAACGAAAGCGGTGGAAAAAATTGGCAGTGGCTTCGCTCGGCTACGCCAGGGTGTATATAGCGTGGGTTACTGACAGGTGGACGGAAGAGCGGGGCGCAGCCACGTGAGGAGCAATAAGCTGCTAAGGTACTGATCGTTGAATTCCTGAAATTCTACGCATGCTCTCTCAGGTGGTCGTTCAAACTGCGACCGGTCTGTCCAGTATTCACTCAGAGATCAGGCTGTAGGCAGCAGCACCATCCCCGCACTAGTGTGGTTATTTGCGGCCGGCGGCGCTCATACGAATGTACGCTGCGGCGCTTTTTTGTGAACGGTGTGAGCCAATTGTCAGGGAATAAAATGTGCTGAGTGCACTAGTAATATATATGTCATCCAGAGCACAGATGCAAAAAGCACACTGAACATTGCGATTACTTCGGAGAGGAACGCAATCTGCGATAGAAAGGCGTGTCCGTGCTTGGCGACTGTCTGCGTTGTCGCACTATGTCACGTTTCTTGTATTTTTATATGTGAGTGTTGAGCTTGGGTTCCGCTACGCACTGCCATAGTGTGAAAAAATTTATTCTTTGCTTCATGCATGCTGGTAATAAAAAAGAGCCACAAATTTCTTATTACTGGGTAATGACCTAAAATAACCACAAATGCGCATCAACATTTTTGCAATTATTTCTTCATGAAATGGTCTAAAGACGGTTAATAAGTATATTCAGAAAAGCTACGTGGCTGACAGTGATTTTGCGTGCTTGTTCTAACTACAACTTCAGTATAAAAAGGTAAAAGTTTAGCACGCACATTTTTTCTATTGATTGTCTGCATGACAGTGATGCAACACAGCTTCGGCCATTGGTTTGAACATAAGTTCTTTTTTGAAAGAAATATTGTACGCTTCTACTGCCACAATACTACTAATACTAATACTGCCACAAAAGCGCCCAACCTAATGCAAAAAAAGAGCGTGATGTTTAGCGTTAGATTACATGACAAAAGTGCGAGGCACGCCTTCTGTGTTACTTTTGATCATCTGGATTTTTCGAAGCATATACAAAAGTGAACCCACTGGTGTGTCTGTACAAAAATCGCCTAATGCTTAAATTGCGCCCAGCGACTCAAGTTCATCACCTCCGTGTCAATCAATTTTCTGTTCTTTTTAAGGGACAACTTATCTAACGGAGCATCACAATTTACTAGACTGAAATATGTCGCAGCAGGAGCGAACAATAAAATGCTATGTCAAGCGCAATCAAAGCTCGTCGCATAACTGATAAGCAGCGCCGTAGTTAGACTTCTTACAATGCAAAGCTTCTTTTATCACCGAGTCTCTAAACGGTGCCCGTGTACAGAGTATTTATTACTCCTCCTGTTCGAGAAGATGCCAAATGCCCTGTACGATGTGCTTTAACTGCAAAGTGTCACCTGAACCGAAGTGATCCTGGTGGACGGTGGATACGACGACGATACACAGCACTCTCGGCAAGAGCATGAAGTGGTTTCACGCAACGCATATCAGCCGAGCAAAGCCAAGTATGTGGGTAGATTGGGCCAGGCAAACGTGCAAGCAGTTAAACGTGCGCTAGCAGAGCGGGCCAAACTGCTTTTTGAGGATGGGCGTGACATAGACGCACATACTAGCCGTATGTGGCTAGCAGACGACGCTGGGAGCCATCCACACATGGCGCGCATAAGCCAGCGGCCACCACGCGGTGACTCCACTCGATCTCGTGACAAATGAGTGCGGCCACATGACAATAGAGTGTCGTAAATGACATTGCTAACGCACTCTGCGTACTACGTCCAGTGCGTATTGATGCATGCATGCTCATTGGGGTTGTGAGCGTCTACGTGCTAGCATAGGTGGCCGAGCTTACGGGGAGCCGATAAAATGAGCCTTGCCCCACCACGGTGGTCTAGTGGCTAACGTACTCGGCTACTGACCCGCAGGTCGCTTGCTCGAATCCCGGCTGCGGCGGCTGCATTTGCGATGGAGGCGGAAATGTTGTAGGCCCGTGTGCTCAGATTTGGGTGCACGTTAAAGAACCCCAGGTGGTCCAAGTATCTGGAGCCCTCCATTTCGACGTTTCTCATAATCATATGGTCATTTTGGGACGTTAAACCCCACATATCAATGAATCAGTTTAAAGGTGAGCTGTTTAGGTTGGCAGTGCAAAACCAGGTGAAGAGCAGAAAGGCTCACAGTATCTGTGATGCAGGATGCAGTAAAAAACAAGTTAGCAGCAGAAAGATTTTTGAAGGGAGTGTGGGAGTGACAGCGAAAAACGACTATTGTCTTTAAAAAAGTCACAGCACATTTTCGGAGTGAATGAGGAGTGGGGCCGACACGCATCAGTTGCTCATGGCCCCACTGCTTATCAAATAAATGCCCAGCGCGCGAGCGACGGAACGACGCGCTACCGACGCCGCATTGTAGATAAGCCGAAGGTGGTGCTGCGCAAAGAAGTGGGCACCAACATAAACACACATGGCAATATTGATTGATTGATTTGTGGGGTTTGACATCCCAAAACCACGATATGATTATGAGAGACGCCGTAGTGGAGGGCTCCAAAAATTTTGACAACGAAGGGTTCTTTAACATGCACCTGAATCTGTGCACACGGGCCTACAACATTTCCGATGGAGGCGGAAAATTTGTAGGCCAGTGTGCGCAGATTCGGGTGCATTTTAATTCAGCAGCCGCAGCCGGGATTCGATCCCGCAACCTGGGGGTCTGCAGCGGAGTAGACCACCACGGCGGGACACGCGACAATATCAAGGCGGTGTTCATATTTATTACTCACGTACATTGCAACATTAGTATATCGATTGATCTATATACAAAAGACCATTTAGGAAATATGAGAAAGATATAACTAGATCTTGAGAATTTATTAAAGGACAGAAACTTTGGCCTCAGTTTGTGCACTCTGGCCTGCTATTGAATCTGCAAATGGAAAAATAGAAAGGAGATAAAAAAGGAATGAAGGTCATAATGGCAAAGGGAGAGGGACGCGTATGTACGTGAACCACGTAATGGGCTTTTCGAAAATCTATCAACTGCAAACAGTAGTTCATACCAGATTCTCATGTCAAAGGGACGAAACGTTGGGTTGGATTGACAAAACTGTTATAGTTTGTAGAAATTAATGCAAGTAAACTTTTCTATTGCCGTCTCGACTTACACTGAAGAGAAGCATGTGGTGTTTCGTAGTAATAATGAAAAACATTCAAATACTCTTTGTCTGAGTAAAACACTTTCGTAAAATCACTGAATGTCCTTCAATCATAGCAGTGAGCTCCTCCTGGCAACCGGAATTTAAAAACGGGGACACCTGACGCTGATGGTCTCTAGACTTTACCGTAGTGCCAGAATATGTATACTTTTCGACAGCTAGTATTTGTCGGAAATATGGTCAGAAAGAGAACAGAGAGAGGAGATAGAATAAAGCAAAAGGTAAAGAGAAGGCGTTCCACTCAAACTCGTTCAGACAGGTCGGTCAGACAGGCCAAAACGTCCAGTTGCACTTTCACAGCCTCCTGCGAAAATTTGGCTTTGACGATGGCGTAATATAATTTACAGAAAAGTCGGTCGTCGAACTTGTTGAGAAATCGAAGGGACATGTTTCATATCACACGTCATATTCCTCAGCGCAAGTAACGTTTCCACCACCTCACGCTTATCGAGTGCGCACGCTCCGAAGACTTAGATGATTTCACAGTCTTAAGAAGAATACTTTCGTCACTTAACTAGCTTGGTCTGTAATGATTGAACAACCATTGAGGTACATAGGCCTCTGGCACGTGGAATCTCATCTCTTGTTTCTCGCCTTCCTAGATGTTGGAGTCGGGGTTAGATTCTTCCTAATAACGTTCACAGACTTCTTCGAAAGCAATGATCAGTACTCGAACTTGTGCGTGTCTTTGTTCCAGAAACGGCAGTATGACGTCGTATTCCACCAGTGGTGCATGTCTAGTATCACAGAACTCTTCTTGAAGTCGGTGCTGTGCAGCTTCCGGCACAGTGCGCAGAAGTTGTAGTAAGTGAACGGCTTAATTTTGAACTTGCCTTTCCATCTGAAGTGCCTCTTGTACAGGTTGAAGTCCCTAGCCACTTTCTTAAGGTGAAGAGCCAATTGCCTCGGTGACTCGAAGCTTAGGGCGTCGATGTACGATTCAGGTGGCGCAGCGTCACTATAGTTCGCTCCGCCATACACCACCGGAATAATGTCGTACATCAGTGGCTTGAATAGCTTCTCTGTCACATAGTCCCTGCATATGCAGTTCTCGAAGGACAGATAGTAGAAATAGTCTCTTGCGAACATCTTGTAGCACGAGGTCTCCATTTCTCGAGGGCATTTATTTTCGCCACAGTCTCCGTACACGTCCACGTCGATGTACTTCCGCAGCTCTCGCACGTAGTGTTTTCGCTTCCCGGAAGTCTCGCAGCTGCTCACTGCCCAAGCTGCCATCTTGAACTTTCTCTGCCAGATGCTCTCCAGGGGATCCTTGTCATACGGCTGTTCAGCTGGCACCAGTTTCGTGATCTTGACGTAGTTGTCCAAGATATCCGAGTCGAGCCTGCACAAAACGTAGAGAACAGTCTCATTTCAGCGGCAGTGAACGCGAATAAATACTGAGAAATGCTTCAAGAACAGCGCAAAGCGCATCTGTAATAGCGCCTATTTATTTGTCCAGGAGGCCCGCGATGTGGCGGAGGGCTTGGGGCTCTCTGTCCCGACGTGAGAGATGCCCTCTACACCTGGGGTCTAGCCGAGCGTCCTTCATGACTCCTTTTTGGGTAATAAAGTTTCGCTACCACCAATGAGTTCACTCGTCGTTTAAACATTTGACTGTCATGAATATTCATAGAATCTACTGATATATGAATCGTTGTTTATATAACGTTGTGAATCAAGAGAACGACGAATAAAAACGTTTCACGGGAATGACCTGCAACTATGCCTCAAACAACGTCAAACGCCCAAAACGCCGTGGAGATAAATCAGCGGGTAAGCTGCAAACCCCCAAGATAAACGCAAATAAACCCTAAAGTAGCCATAACATACTTTCACCATTGGCTTCCACTCCATCGAAACCAAATGGCTTTGCCTAAATCAGCCCTTTGAATGCTTGATCAACCTGTCACCGTGATCTACAGAATGTGTGCTCTTATTTTGATTCGTTCTTCTATGCATATCATTTTAAACAGAATAACATTTCATTGGCTACCGTGACTCATTTCAGAAGGTCGGATGATCTCACACACACAATTTAAACGTGAGGAATGCCACCCTAGCGTATGTGCAAAGCGTGTAAACAAAAATGGAACGTTATTGAAGTTTGTGAAGTGTTGCTATAAAAATATTTGAACTCTGGGCCTCTAGCACTAAATTTGTGCATATAACGTCGGCGGGATATGCAAAATTGTAAAAGATAAGGTAGCTACCATATGCAGTAAAAAAAGCTGGATGACATTGAAGACACTCTGCTCACAGCATCATGTCTCAAAAATAGAATGAAAGCTCTTGTTAATTTTATGAAAAAATGCGATAAAGTATTATACAACGGAAAACAGTGCAATGGTTATGCAATGCAGGGCACTAAATGTTTGTGCTTTAGAATAATGGTTATTCCCTGTAGATACAATTGACCATGGATAAAAGAAAAGGCATTGGGGAGAGCAATAAAAGCGTTTGTGCACCGATGGTGGCCAGTAAGGAAGGCCTTAGTAAACCTCTCTGCCTATCGTCTCTTGCATCTCCCTTTCTCTACCCTTCTTTTAACCTACACTTTCACACCACGTCATGCACAGCCGACGAAAACAACCACTTGTGTCGAAAATCATACTAGGATGTTCTATGCAGTGTATTTTCTAAGGCGAAATTCTTATACACCCCAACAGGCACAGAAATTAGTGTGAGTACAATACCACGAAAAATAAGTTACGTAACTTATAAAACACAAGCACCACATTCAATTCGTGTGTGCGACGTTCATATGGTCAGGGCAAAAAAATCACAATCCATTTTATTCATCAAGGCGAATAGAAGCGAAATAGCTTTTCACGTCACACAGATGTGTCGCACAACTTTGAACCACCACTGATAACACATCATGAAACAAAACCTCAGTCGGGATATCTTCCTTTTTATTTTAGCATAACCTCTTCAAAATGTTTTCCATTCTAACCTCTTATTGCGGTGAGGTATGTCATCTTGTCTTTTGCGTGCTTACGTTAGTGTTCGACACCCTTCTGTTCCTCTTTCTTCCTGCGGCGCCAGGTGGGAGTTGGGAGTTTGCCCAGTTTCTCTGTGCTGCGTTCTTGCTCTCTAACAAATGGAATGTGTAAGACATATGCAGAATTCGTTAATGTTGGATCTATAAGAGCCCTCATAATCTGGCACTACCCGCCTCCTACAGACCGGTCTGTATATTACGGAACACAGAATTATAGTGCCACGAAAGAGCAGTCAAAGCCTGCACCTCTTTCGGACACCCACAAAGCAGAAGCTGCTTCAACTACTGGGGTTTCTTCAGCCAAGCAGCATAATATGTGAATAATAACATATCCCTATATATGCCAAATAAATCTCACGCCTCACTTGCAACGTAAACCAATGCCACGCAACACAGATTGACAACGTCACCTAAGTCTGCGCAAGGCACGCGCTGATTCTGAGTGACATTTGGTCATACAAAAGACGTGAAGGCGTTCGTAATGTGAAAACCGCAGTACGTCCACTCAAAGGAACGGGAATAAATGTTGCCTTGACGTAGGATGGCCGCAATAGCATCTCCGCATCGATTAAAACCGCTTTCTCCGACGTGTCATGAGGAGGTCGCAATAGGTGAAGCAGTGGCGCATGCGGCCGTGGATTCTCCAATCACAGAAATCTGCAAGGATTCGCAGAGTCAATATCAATACTTCCTTCAAGGCACACGGCGAAACAACGTTACACGCATTTTGCAAAACACTGCTTCCTTCGCCATCCGGCGACTATGATGCGGGTGCCTTGTGCGTCAATGTACCCCCGGCATGAGCACGTGAATGTACATGTCGAGGTTTTTCAGTGTGGACCGTGGAAGAGCGCTTACTGAAATCTGTCTGAAACCAGGAGAGGGTACTTGTACGTATATTATATGCTTATGTCATATTGCACAAATGGGAGAAGAGATTTAACGGGCGCCCTTCCCTACTCCCTTACCCCCGGAACTTGGTCTGGAACCAGTTACGGAAGACAACACACAATTCCCTTTATATTGCACATCGATTTTACCCCGCTCTCCATCAACCACAAAGCACCATCTGCCACGCGTCTTATGCGAATCTTTTCCACTGTTTATAGAGTTGCCCCATGCCCTTGGTAATAGACCATATTTCCAATCCTGGCATTTCTTTCTGGCTCCTCGGATCACTGGCTCGGAAAACCAGCTGTGGCTGCTATGGACGGGGCCTGCATGCGTAGAGGTGTCGGCAAGCAGGCTTGTGGGCGTCTGTGTTAGAACGAAAGTTTAGTTCAGCGTAGAACTCTAAGAGCACCTGCGTACACGACATGGACAACAACAAACTTGTTTAAACCACACTCTAAAAAAAGGGAGCGGGAGTGGAGAAATGGGCTCCGTTCCTCCTTCGGCGCAGCGGCTTCCTCCCTTTTGGGCGCTTTACCCGTCGCGCCCTCTCGTGGCAAGGACCATAGGAGCAACGTTCCTCCATCAGCGTTCAAGTTTCTCTTCGATCACGGGGGTATTGCACGCGCGCATGCGCACGCCAAGCCTAGCCGGCCACAGCCAGTCGCGAGCGATTGCTTTTACCTAAGATTGATGTAAGCAATGCAGGAGTGACGTTTTTTTTTTTGTTATATTGGTGTAGAGTAAAAGCCTCTCTTTTTTTATAACCAGAAACTCGCACGATGCTCCGCACACTTCAATGTGTGTCTCGTGTTGTTTCATACTACCAATTTGTCACGAATACAAGGAGCTCTGCTTCCCAAGCAGTCTTGCTTTATCGATTACCTTAAGTGTACAAAAATAGTGAATTTTTTCGGTGTCGACATACTTGGTAAGCCCACGCATTTTTAGTTTCGCACGGCACCAACAGCACTCATGAATTCAATGAGGCGCATAAAAAAGCATCACACTTAATTTTTCAACTTTCTAGGAAACCTGATACCACTCTACATTTCATGCGTGAGAGCACGATCATATACAATTGATAGAGTTATACGTGCCACTACTGCCATATGGATGTTCTTAGCAGTTTACCCCCATTCGAATATGGCCGCCGTGACCGGAAGTCGAACCTCCGTCCTCCAGCATAGTCACACGACACCCAATAAGGCTATACCATGGCAGGTGAAAGCACAATGGGAAACAGGCTGCGAAGTTTCGCCGAGCGTTTATTCACCAGACTAGGTTACAATCATCATAAACGTTTAAACATCATCATAACTACACTTTTGTGAAAAGTAAACCAATGATTTATGTCAGTTAAACCAAATTCTCAATCGCATGCGTTTTGAATTGCCCATGCCAGCACTGAGAGGTATGACGGAATTATGCACGCATGCAATATGCCTTTCTCGTCCATGATTCTCCTTTGTCGTGAGAAACACAACACCAAATGCACTTCTAGTAACAGCTGTGCACAGCAGGTAAGTGCTAACACTCACTCACCATTGTGAAAAGAGTATTCTAAATCCAGAGTAATAAACACAACAGCCACAGCGCTACCAACAAAATTGTGGCACGCACTATGATTGCAAGTTGACACGCGAGTCGAATCGCGAGAGGCATCTGTAGCAGAAAAGTATGTAGGCACAACATTCTATAACGTTATAGTAAATTTGCGCACAGCAGCGATAGTTCCTCCACTCAAGTAATAGAGCTGCCGCGACGCCAACAGCCACTGCCATTGCTCACGAAAAAATACCATCGGATGCGAGGTCATCGCTTATTTCTATCGCAACACCCGCGTTGTAACGTACGTATACACTGCTAGGACGGTCGTTACCGCATCAAAAATGTTGTCATTGAAGGGCTAGCGGTGTACTGTATCCATGGCTAACGGTCACACTTGTGGTAAGCACGTAAAAAGAATATAAGCAAACGTTAACACGAAACAACTGAACGAGGTCGACGGGACCACAAGAACACCTATACCATGACGGAGACCAAGTCTGGTCTGCATGCTGCGCCCTCTCCAAGCAACAAGTACAAGAATTAAAAAAAAAGACGTGACTTCTGAAATGGCTAGCGCGCTGCAAGCGTTTGCGTTCTCGGAGGCCTCAAGAAAAAAATAACTGTGGCAGTAGTCGAGAGATGGCGCAGCATTCGGAATGCCGCGGGCATTCTTTGCATGACGTGGGGGTATTTGCTTTCGTGTAAACCAGATAAGCTCTAGTAATTATTCCGTTCATTATTGTGCAACCGTATATAAACTTACGTTTGTCTAAGCATCAGAAACAATATATTTACGTGTGCGCATGTTGTCGTATTGCCACAAAACGCAAAAGAAGTGTAAGAAAACCTACTTGTAACTTGTGCCACTATGGTCTGTCGAAATTCATCGCTATATAAGC